CGTTACTTAACTTGGATTCACTGGCAAGCAGCTTCTTTTTTTCTTTTTATATGCAGAAATTATTTTGGCCAAATCAATATCAAGTATACAATAGAATTGTTACATAGTGAGTATAAGCAGGTTCCTCTGCTCAGTTAACTTTCTCAGTCAGGTACACACTCCTTCCCACGGCTTTTCTTACAAGGGAACATAAAATATGTAGATTTAAATTGAGAAATGGCTTTGAGTTCTGGACTTTTGCTTCTGGGCTGTTTTGGGAAGAACTCATACAGTGGTTTTCCCTAGCGAAGGTCCAGTTTGTGCTGCAGAAAAGACTGGTATGCTAATAAACCAGTATTGACAAGTGTGATAAATGCAGCTAGGTACTTAGTGAGTGCTGGAGAGCAAAGTTGATTGCATTTTACAGTCTGTGTATTTCTCTGTTTATTGCTTGTATTCTGTCATTAAGCAAACAGGTTCCTAATATAGCAAATCTCTCTAATCAGTAAAGCAAGGAAGAAAAGAACCAGAGCACCATTAATTATGACTATTTGGCTACAGACTGGACAGTCTGTTGCTATTGGATTGGGCAGCTTCCCCTGGTTTGATTTTCTGGAGGTAGAGCAGAAACTGGCTTTTCTTATGTGTGGAGGAGAACAGAGAAATGTTCCATGCCCTGCTGGCTGACAGCTGCCTAAAATCCAGAGATTAAATACTGGCTTCTCTACAGAAATGGAGTCCTGGGGCAGCAAAGGCCAGGCTCCAGGCGAGTGCGCTTTTAAGTCTTCAGTTCCATAATCAGAGTGAGCATGCAACTCACAAACCTGACCTGTCCCCAGAGCTTGAGGAGAGCCTGCTGCAGGCAGAACCCACGTGGGGACTGGGCTGAGAGCTATAAATGATGTGTGCCTCTCTGCATTCTGCACAGGAAAGCTGCCGGCACCATGGCAGGCTTTCCAAATGCTAATCACTGGGGTAAAAAGCAGGAGAGGCACCACTCTGACTCCAGGTAACAGAGGTTAACAGCATCTAATGCATTTATTAACCCTCTGGTGCCAGAGACTGGCACAGTCTGGCCCCCCACAATTATAGTGTCCTGGAAATTCATTTATGCAACGTGCCTGGACTTGGGGATTACCACTAGTGATTCTTTTATAATATGAGAGCAACAGCTGCTGGAGAGGCAGGGCTTCATGTGCCTAAAGAACAGGTTTGCCTGCTTTTCTAGAAAGTAGGGAAGGTGCTTGGTTTGGGGACAGGTTTCTCTAGGATGGTTTTCATCCTCCCATTCTCAAGATGAAAACCTCAAGGTACTAGGTTTCAGTGGTGATGTTTCACTTAGCTCAGAGTCAGGCAGCTTCCCCTAAACCTCATAACTGTAAATTAGATGTTAAGAAACACCCTTTCATAAAATGGATTAAATATTTCATTTTTCAACATACTGTAAGAATAGTTCGAATTGATTTTTTGAAAAGTGAAATGTATTTTCTCTTCTTAATCTCTTTTTAAAAGACATACTGTGTTAAAATCACAAACTCTTAAGTCATGGTGTCTGCATAGGTACCAGCTGGCTGAGCTCTGTGTCAGGTATCTGCATTTCTCATAATCATCAGGGCTGCAGGGCTCCCTGAAGGGCCCCTGAACCCTGTGCCAGCCCTTCTATTATTGCATCCTTGGTTTTACCAGTTGGTAACTCAGGGATTTTAAAAAAAGTGCTCTTCCAGTTTCTAATTTACCTTATTCCTTACAAAGTCTCGGGAGGTTTTTTTTTTTTTTTTTTTTTTAATTTTCCTGGGACATCCCGATTTTCAGCAATTGAGACAGCATTTAAAGTGCGTACTTTTTTGTGATAGTTGAAAGCGGGGGACACCCTGTAATTTTATCCATTTGCATTTATCATACCTGACTAGTAAGACAGTGATAGCTTGATGATGTTTTCAGAAATGCTCAGGATAAAAGCCTTTAAAATGTGGAAGTAACAGGTTTCTCAGGCTTCCAAAGTGGGTTGTAAGACCCAGATTTTCATAAGTAGACTCTGGATCTGCAGAAGCAGATTTCTGGAAAATTCAAGTAGTTCACACTGGATAGAGAATGCATAAGCATGTAACTAGGCAGACGTTCAGAGGTCTCCATCCCAGGATCTGACCCATTCTCTGTGGCACACCCATTGTGAGAAGTATTGGACTCCCAGCCTGATGTCTGTTGTTGACCCCATCCAGTCTAGACAGCTGCCACACTGGCCCTCATCTCATTTGGTGGGAAATTTAAATAGATCTCAAACCCATATGCAATCCTTTGATTCTGCTATTCAGACTCAGAGACCTGACAGTGGCCCATGCCAGGTTTAGGTGGAACTCCAGAACCTCTCTCCTGAGTCTCTGTTTCTGTAGGGCTTTCCCGAGCACCCAGACCGCTCTGCAGCAAGCTTATTAATACCCAGTGTAAGCAGAGTCTTTAGAGGCCTGTGTGTGCAGAGTCTTTAAAGGCCTGTGTGTGGACTGCTAAGCGCCTCCCTCTGTGGGTTGGGAAGATGTTTAACGGGAGAGATGCCGTTTTCTCAGGGCGTCCCCTGTAGGGATCTGGCTGCATAATCTTACTTGGACTCAGCAGTTCCTCCAGTTATGCCAACCCGAATGGTCCTCCAGGCAAGATGAGCTTGAGAGGTGCTGCTTCCAGCTTTAGCCAATGGGACTGCACAGAGACAAGACCAGAAACTGACCATTTCCTTTATACAGAGGCCACTGGGATACCCACTTTGGGGGAATAAGCACTTAGAGACTTCACAGACTTGGAGCTGATCTAAATGCATTTTTCCTCTGTAACTGAAGTTATGCCTGCTATTTCCAGATAGAAGACAAGATCCTCGGAGTTTACAGCCATGCCTGTCTCTTGGTTGAAAGCTTATAAATTCTGTGTATAGCGTGAAACCCTCCGTGACTAATGAGGGTCAGAAATCTACCTCTGCAGATAGAGTCCACTTAAGAAAACCTGTTAAGATCGAGGCCTTTTCTAGTCCACTGATGAAAGCCTCTTTCTAATTATTTAATAATGGTAGGATTATACTCCTGCAGTATAGCTAATGAGTGTCTCAGATTGTGTATACAGTGGATTCAACACTGTCTGCTAGTGCTAATCATACCAAACAAAGTAGGAAGGAGGCCTTCGGAGCCCTTGGAACTATTAGAAGCTACTGAGGCCTAGGACATGGAGGTGCAGCTTAGCTGTGACCACAAGCACAGAAAGAACTTGAGGGTGTCATGTGTCCCAGTCTAGAAATCATGCTGCCTTCTCTGTGCAATTCAGTAAATTTGTTAGTTATGCAAGGGCCCTTAGCAAGGGTTTATGTCTTTTGTAGATTATGGCCTAGAAAAGGCAGAATGTGATGTTTTAGGGCCGTTTTGGTGTCTGGGAACAATTCCAAACTGGAACAGAAATAAAACATGTAAAGCACTACACATTACTCTCTGTAGGTGACAATACAGTGGACCAGATTTGTTATTAATATAGATTAGAAGTAGCCTTTTGAATCAGGTTCAATTCCTCTTCCAATTTCCCCTCTGCTCTTCTTATACATAACATTTAGTGACCTTTGAACAGCCCCTGGATGCTTCACAGTGTCTTATTCTTGATGCCTGTTTAAAGGTTTCTATTTCATATTCACAGCTGGCATATGCAAATATAGGTAAAGATTATGATGCCTCCCAAGTAGCATTATGGTCAATAAATTACTCCTTGGGTGAACATGCTATCATTTCAGCCTAGCATGTCTTCCGGGAGTTGCAAAAGTCACAACAGGCAGCCTGCCAGTGCCATCCACACAGAGCTGGTGCCCGGGTCCTCCTTTATTCAAGTAACGCTTAACCAGGGGCTCAGCCTGTTGACAAATGAGCTCGCTCTGTTGCTGCCAAAGAGCTCCTATTGCTGGGGATGAGGAAGGAGCATCATGGGAGTTCTTTGTGTGGATTTTGGGGAGAAACACTGTGATGCAGGAGATAGCACATTTTCATTTAGGAATTGAAGAGACTGGGTCTGCATCCTGACTCTTAAGTAAATTGCTGTATGACCTTGGATTAGTCACTTAACTTCTCTGAGCTCTGTTTTCCTTTGTAAAATGAGTGGGTTGTACCAGGGTCAGTAGTTTTCACAAGCGTTTTCACTGTAATTATTTGAGCAATAAGACCTTTCCTATAATGAAATTATCAGGTAGAAATCCAGTGGAGGTTTGTTCCAGTTGAGGAGAAACAGGCCGCTCAATGCCTTCACAGCCCAGTCCCCTTGCAACTGCTCGGGAAGCCATTTTAAAATGGCTGGATTGAGGATCCGTAATGCTCTGCGTGATTCTTTGAGGATACCCATCCCTGCCCTGTGCCTTATCCCCCTAACAGTGACTGGCAAGTGGTTTCCTCACTAGAGAGGAGCCCCGTGAACCCAAGGACCAGGTCCTTTTGTGTTCATTACCATATATCCAGCATTGGTAAACAGTAGCGTCTGTTGACTGGAGTAACAAATAATGAACAAGCAAGCAAGCCCAGGAAGACCTCTGTCTGTATGACCCATAAATGCAGATGCTTATTGCAGTATCTTTACCTAGAAGGGCGTACTTCCCCAAAATTTAAGAAACAAGGGATTACTTCAAAACGTTTTTTTTAGTAACCTAGACCTGAACTGCTCCTTCAGAAGCCACTAGGCTTTGAAATGGGGCAAGTCTGAATTGAGATGTGCCATGCCAAACACACCAGGTTTTGAAGACTTAGTATGGACAAAAAAATGTAATGTATCTTATTAATATTGAGTACATTTTGAAATGATAATATATTGCATTAAATAAAATATATTATTAAAATTAACTTCACCTGATATCTCTTTCTTACATGGCTACTAGAAAATGTTCAGTTATATATGGAGCTCACAGCTGTGGCTCACATATGTATCAGAGAGCATTGCCCTAGATAGCTGATTAGGATCATCAGTAATTACTCTCCTGTATTATGTTTGAACATTTTTTCCTTGTCTCTCTCCAGGCACAGAAGCTGAAATCCAATGTGTCGGGCAATACACACCTCTGTATTTCCAATGTAAGTATGTTTCTTTTGGAGGCTTTGTGTATTTATAGAAACATAGCTTTTGGGCCTCTGGGACAGGGTCCAAAGACCAGAAGATATCTAGTCCACAACAAATCTAAGCCACACTCCATGACCATCTGTCCTTTGAGCAAGGTGAAGAGTTTGAATTCCAGTTCACAAAGCTGGAAGTAAGCCTGGGACCCAGGATCTTTGTCCCAGGATTAATACAAGTGTCCCAGGGCCCTTAGCCTCTCTGTGATCACAGTCATATATAAACATCCTGCGCAGAGGTCACACATAGCAAATCTCACTGCTCATCAGATGTTCTCTCTCTGTGGTGCCTCTGACCTCCACAGCCCCCCATGGGGAGATGAGAGCAGGTACATTACTCTCCACAATTTACAGATGAGGAGACCAAGAATTCTGCTGTGGTAGACCCTGATTCCTTGTGGAAGGGGGTGGCATTATGGGATTAAGCAGGTACTGGTGCTAGGGATGGAGGAATCTATCCTGGGGAAGGACAGCTGTGCTGGCTGGGAATCCAGAAGCCAGAGTTCTGGTTTGGTTCTCCCAGCAGTGAGAAGAGCAAGCTCTTGCTCTCTCCAGCTCCTCATCTATAAAATCTGGGATTGAACTGGCTTATGTAGGGAGAGGCTGCTCTGCCGGTTTTGAATGCTGTCTGTGACCTATCTCTACACAAACTGTCACTTGATTGGGCAAGTTTCCTGAGATGACCCTGCTGCCCTCCTTCCCTGGTAGGTAGAGAGAGTGAGCATTCCTCTTCAGCCAGTGGCAGAAAGAGAAGAGTTCCATGTTGCACAGAGCTAACATTTAGCTGTGTAGCATGGAACCCTTGAGAGAGGGGTAAAGAATGGCACGGGTACCTGAACTCAGATATCTTCTCCTAGAATGCATTTAATAATCCTTAATGGAAGAGCAAACAGTAAGCACTGGCCAGTTTCTCAAAAGTATCTGGTTCTCACCCAGGTTCATGGTTTCTTCCCATAAAATTACAAGTTGGTGAATTTAAGTCTCAGTGGTAAAATCTTGGGTCAGCTTTGGTGAGTGGGTCAGCCAGTGGGGAGTCAGAGGGTGAGAGAGCGTAAAGTATACTGTGGTAGAATGAAGACATGCAGTGGATGATAATGAAACCATTCTTTCTCACAGGGTAATTATGAAAAAGAAGGTCTCGGTGCTTCCAGCCACATAACCACAAAATCAATGGCTGCTCCGCCAAGCTGTGGTCTGAACCCACTGCTGGTTCTGGTGGTAACCGCTCTGTCCACCCTATTATCTTTATCTTTAGCAGAAACATCGTTGCTGCATTAAAAGAAAACCAATATGGACATGTAAAAAGACAAAAACCAAGTTATCTGTTTCCTGTTCTCTTGTATAGCTGAAATTCCAGTTTTAGGAGCTCAGTTAAGAAACAGTTCCATCCAACTGGAACTTTTTTTTTTTCTTTTAAGAAAGCTTCTTGTGATCCTTCAGGGCTTCTGTGAAAAACCTGATACAGTGCTCCATTCCAAACTCAGAAGGCTTTGGGATATGCTGTATTTTAAAGGGACAGTTTGTAAATGGGGCTGTAAAGCAAACTGGGGCTCTGTTTTTGATGATGACGACAATGATGATGAAGATGATTTTAACAGTTTTACTTCTGGTCTTTCCTAGCTAGAGAAGGAGTTAATATTTCTAAGGTACCTCCCGTATCTCATGTAATGACATTGATTTCTAATGACATAAATTTCAGCCTGATATTGATGCCAAGCTTTTTTTTTTTTTTGCCACAAAGAAGATTCTTATGAAGAATGGACTTTGTGGAAACAGCTGGTACTGATGTTCACCTTTCTATATGTACTAGCATTTTCCACGCCAATGTTTACATGCTGTAAACAGTTCTGCACTCTTGTACAAAACAACAACAACAACAACAACAACACCTGTCGCATCCAAACATAGTATCTGTCTTTTAGTCAAAATAGAGAGTGGGGAATGAGTGTGCCGTCTCAGTACCTCAACCCCTGAACGACACTCTCCTAATCCTAAGCCTTACCTGAGTGAGAAGCCCTTAACCTAACGAGAGTCCAATATAACTGAAATGTCACTCTAATACTCTTTACACTTATGAGGTTATATGTAGAAAAAAAAATTTACTACTAAACGATTTCAGCTATTGGCTTTCTATATTTTGAAAGTAATGATACTGTCTCATTTTTTACTGATGGTTTAATACAAAACACACGGGACTTGTTTCCCCTCATAAGTAGTGTTCACTCCAATATTCACTTCGCAAACACAGCTCTTCAAAAGCAGACTCTGAGAAGCCTCGTGCGTTAGCAGAAAGTTCCGCATCACGTGACTGTGGACAGGCAGGAGGAAACAGAGCAGACAAGCGCATTGTCTTTTATCATTTCTTGAAGTGCAAGCCTGCATATCTGTGAGGGAACTGGTGGCTGCTTGTCAATGTTCTGCAGCGTCTTGTGGCACCCTTGTCACGGTACAGTCCAGTACATTGGTTTTCAGGTTATCTGACAAAGGCAGCTTTGATTGGGACATGGGGGCAGAGGCAGGCTGCCGTTTCTTTGGCAGCACATCCATGCCAGGATGCACAGTTATTTTCCTAAGGATTGTCTTTACGCCTGACTGCAATGTCTTGGCCACCATTTAGAGCAGTTTGGTCTGAAGGTTCAAGATCTGCTTGCCTCTTGTTTTGTGTCCTCCGAGACAGACTGCAGCTGACCATGTTAAAAAAGAAGGAAGGTTTGTGGCTCAAAAGGGTTGACATTAGGTTTGGTGAGATGAGTTGGTTGGCACAGGTCAGCAGAACAGGATCCTGGTGATAGGAAATCTGGCTTTGCTAACTGCATACCATCTTCCATTATTCACTTTACTAACTAAATAGACCCTCAAGTGCACTTTCGAAGCCTGGTTTAGATGGTGAGATTCCGAATCTACTGTGACTGAGTACTGGTGGCCACATTTCTCCAACATTAAGTAAAGAAGAGGAGATTCCACCTTAATAAAGTGCTGGTGAGCACTGGCTTTCTTCCCACATTGGTAGAGAAGATGGAGGAGGAAACCAGGGTGCACATTTCCATAGATCCCCTTCGCCTGCTGTTGTTTACCTTGTAAGATTATTCAAATCACTGAGGGGAAAGGGAAATCTATGAAATCTAAAATAAAGTCATAGTCTTTTGGTGTTCAAAGTACATTTCTATCTAAATGTTAATCGACAAAAATGTACAGTATTCAGTACTGACTTTTTTCGCTTCAAAATATTTTCAAGGGAAATTCAGCAGATATCCAACTGTATTTGATTAGTGAAAAGTTCTATAAAGACTCTTACTTTGAATAAACACATTAAATGTGTCAAAATATTTGGAATGCCAGCTATCTATGAGCGGATATCTCTTACAGAGCATATTTTGTTTTCATTAAGGTATCTCTGTATATCTACACTGGACTAATTGCATATGGGTGTGATTCTATGTGATCCACTGTAGAAAACTATTGATTACTTCTGCGTTAACAGCAGGTCTAATTAGCTTCAGATGACCAAAGAGGAAATGGGTGTTTCAGTGCTAACAAGGGCACCCTTCATTGAAGAATGCAAGGGTATGCAACATAAATTAAATTTTGAAAAGCTTCATCTGTCACCAATGAAGATCTCCTTTTTCTTCAGCGATAAAAGCATATTCCAGTTACCAAATCCTCAATTTGAAAATGAGTTGCTGATTAAATAAATAGGGGGAAGCATCTTGTTCAGGGACAACACGTTGGAAAGATTCTTACAAAAGCAAGCCAAGCAAAGTTTCTGCCATTCAGTGTGATCTTGGTTTGACACAGTGACCCTGAAAATTTGTCCCAGAACTGGAGTGCAACGATTCAAATCATTTACCTATCTCATTTCTTCTTGGCATGCTTAAAAGCAAAAATGATTCATGACTTCCTGTCCTTCAGTCTGAGAATTTGGAGTGCCACAGAATACAGGGGTTATCTGCTGAGGTTTGGGTGTCTGGCAGGAAGTATCTCATTGCAGTTGATTGTGATGACACAAAACAGTAACTAAGGTCCATGCAGACCATGACTCCCTGATGATGTCAAGCCATGCCCTACTTATTTCAGAGAGAAAGAGAGGGGCTAAAAATGCAGTATTGCCGCACTAATTAGAAGCACATTCATTCCACTTTGAATATCTTTGACCGATATGTTTGAGTATCTTTTGAATAGAGCACATGAAGAAAGAAGGGCACAATGTAGAGAAGGAATTGAGAATGCCAGTTACAGATTTATTTTTCCATACCTGATTTTTTTCAAGTCTCTAATTTTAAAAAAGTGTAAGTTGAGATTAACATAGGTTATTTTTTATGAAGTATAGCAAACGATCTAGAATGTGATAGGAATGTGGTTTCCATTTCATTTTTTTAAACACACGTTTATGCTATAGTAAGAATTTGAGAAGTTGTGTCTTCGAGTTCCTCAAACACAAGACAGGGCACCCCCAGAGCTGCCCCAGACTTTGATTTGGTCTATATTCAGATGGTTCCTGTCTCACATACACTCTGAGGATGAGTGCTTCCGGCTGCTGCCCATCTCCCTCTTGCCTTCTTGTCTCTAAATCAGACATTCCCAAGCACTCCATCTGCTGTACTAGGAGAGTGGGAGAGCCGAAGCATTTTGGAGTCCCTATAAAGTGCCTGGGAAAAGAGATGGAAGAGCAGTGGGAGTTTACATAATTAGCAAATTCTTTTCCCAGAATCCAGCATAAATGTATTTCTGTTGTTATTATTTACAAAGTTGTGGCCTTAGAGGAGCTGTCTTTTGGAAAATAAGTTTTCATTCATGCAGTTAGACATGCACGATGTATTTGAATCAATAAACTGTGAACCAGAAAAGGGCTGCTTGAATGAATTCACATGTTCTAATTCTCATTCAAGGCTGTTGATGATCTCCTGGATTCATACCCCATTGATCTGTGTTACTCTTGCCTCTGCTCTTTGATAAAGCAAATTAGACCATGTGAGACCCATCTTTTCAAGAATGACCTAAAAATGATGGCAACAGGCAGGAGTGAATGCCCGCTGGCCTGGGCACAGTGACAGTCCCATCTGAACTTGGAGAGTTGAAGAGATAAGGCAAAATCAAGGTGCAACAGTGGGGTATGTTCCAAGGGTCAATGGATCAGAGAGTCCACTAATGTTCCTAACAAAACAACCAGAGTTCCTTGAATCAGGCAGAAGTTCTTTAGCGACTGGAAGCCAGAGCTATTAATGATATCTGAATGATAGAGGAAGGAATTTCTTATTAGAAATTCTAAAATAAAACAAGTGGGGATTTGGTTGGGTACCCCTAAACTATACTTTTGTCTCATCCCTAAGATAGATATCTCAAATGTGTATCTAACAGCTTTTGACCTTGACACAGCTCTGCTTCTCAAGTGACCATTTGTTTTAACTCTGTTGTCTAGAATTCTTTGTGGGGGCTGGACCTCTGAAAAAGATTCTCACTGCAGAGGCCTTAAATCTGTGGGATTTTGCCACTCCCTCTGTCCTGGGATGTATTCTGTAGGACATTTCATTTATATCAGGACATTGGCTGATTCCGTTCTCTTTCATCGTTATTATTCAGGCCTTCCTCCATCACCTTGTCCTTTATTGCCTAAGTATTGCCCCTCCCGATTCTTCATCCTAATTACTCTAAATTTAGTTCAACCCCAATTAATTTTTGTTCCAATAAATATCTTTTCAGACAGAGAAGCCTCTCTCAGGAGTCAGGTGATCCGAAGATGATGCTAATCCCCAAATAAGAAGTTCTTCTAGCTAACTCCTCTCTGAGCTCCCTCTTCTTAGCTTTGGGATTGGGGATGGTCTTATCCTTGCCAGGCATTCCTCTGTTGCTCCCAGTGTCTCTGATGAGCTTCTCCTCCCCCAGAGAAAATGCAGGGGTGGTTTTTCAGCAGAATGTGCCACCTGCACTTCTGATTGTTCTGAGACCCAGCCCAGAGGGGTGGAGAAGGCACACAAACCCTATTCCAATAAACTGCCTGCAGAGAACCACAGCCTGCTAATAGTCGTTGAGGTCTCAGCCCCCTAAGGTCTCCAAGCTCATTTGACCAGCGCAGCTGTGACTTCGGCTGTCTGCCTCTGGCAGGTGCCAATAACAGCATCTTGTCCCACTGCCACGGGGAGTTAATTTTTGCTCCAGGGCAGCTGCCAAGCCCAGCACGAGCATCAATAGAAGGTTTTCTCTGATTTTCTTCTTTTCATCTCAAGCTAGGCTTTCTTACCAATCCCCAATTTTGTTTTGTAAGGCACCAGGAGACTGGCCCGAGATCTTTGGCTTCTTCCTTAGTTTGGATACCTCTTGCTGCTCATAATCAGGCTTCTTCAGCAGAAAGCATGACCCGTTGTAGGTACTTAGAAACTGGCTGAATGACCTTGTCATTTAAGGGCTTTATCCTGTCAGATAGTAGCAAGAACTGGCCTGTTGGCATCATATTCCTGGCATTGGGCTGTACTGACACTGAACATGTCCTCCTGAGAGTTTTGGGGGTGACCTGGAAGAAAGGGTCGGAGAAAGTATTGGGATCCAAGTGACTTTGAATCTTCCCACTGTGTTTCTTGCTGAGAAACACAGACTAGCACCTGTCCCAGCAGGCTCACCATATCTGCCAGAAAGGACAAAGCCCAAAATGGTGGTAGACTTTGTGGGAAATTAGCCAGTTAGTCCTCTGAGATTTTAATCTGCTTCAAGCACAGGATGCTGACAAGAAAGGTAGACCACTCCCCCGATCCCAGACGAATGCCAGGAATGACAACTTCTCCATCAGTATCCTGAGAAGCAGAGTCAAATGCTTATCAAGTCAGCACGTTTATTGAGTGAGTACTCTGATGGAAGGAACCAGCATTTGGAGCTGAACTTGAGAACACAGGATCCTCTGACAGCAGCTTAGGGAAACACCCATTCCTTCCAGACTGGCAGAATCCTTCCATTTCACGTCCTTCAGAGACACTGTATTCTTCTTATAAATAGTTCATGAAACTTTCTCAGTCTCGCTGTCCCAGGAGTTAAGTCCTCGGCCACGTGCACACAATGGCAAATCCAGCTCTTCCATGATAGAGAAGGTAAAACACCCACCTCTGAGCCTGAAAGGCCACCTCTGAGCACTTAGGCTGCCACTCCTCTGGGCCTCAGATGCCATGAGCATGGCCAGGTAGGCACAGAGGTAAGGCAGTCACAACTGTCAGGTACCGGCCATGGTGCAGGTGGGAATAAGGGATACCAGAGCTACTTGAGCTGAAGAAAGCAAACAGTCAGCAGTGCTCAAAGGAGCAAAACTGCGAATGTGCACGATGACCCCAACGCCTACAAGCAAAACACAGATCCTAAGACTAGAGTGAAGTAGGAAGAAGAATTAGAAAATCCAGTGGGTGTCCTGAGTATAGGGAACCAGGGCTGCTGAAAATCAGTAAAGGTCGATTACCTGGGGCCAGACGGGGTGACAGTGGCAGAGCAGGTGAAGGTACTCTGGCCTTCTCAGTTCGCTGGCACATTAATAAAGCTTGGTCTTTCATTCTCATTCATTCTCTCTCTCTCTGTCACAATGATTGAAGGGCTGTATGCTCCAGCATTATCTTCTTGGTGCGCCAAGCATGCGTGATCTGGAATTCGGGTTTTCATTTTTTAGCTGTAGCTGAAGGCATTTCTCAAATGTGGAAAAAGAGAATGGAAGCCACAGAACCAAATCAGTTGGCCCTGCCGTGTTTGGCTGTGATCTTACTCTCATCAGACATTTCTGATGTGCATTTCTGGATTCAGAAAGAGCTGATTGTCCTCCAAGGGTTGAAAAAACAGTTTAGGAAACCTGAATCCAGGGCCTTACAGTTCTCCTCATTATCTATCTTCTTCTCCCTTCCCTCGCTAAGGGAGTGGGGGAATCACTGTTCACTGCAGTTTGCTTTAAAGAGTTTTCCCATCTCGTGTGCATTATCCCTTGATATTGAAATTATTTTCTCAGTTTAATCCAACTCCTGCTGAGAAGCTGTGAGAGATTTAGGTTTGTGGGATTTTTTTCTTGTACTCTTTTGGATGGTGTTGCATTTTTCACTCTTAACCCAAGGGTATGTTTCAGCTTATGTTTGCTCTGTTTCATGCAGGTTTATAGTATGGTAGAATAGAAGGAGGCTTCTGATGTTTAGGGTATTTTTAGAATTCATTCTGAGTGAGGGGTTCAGACACCCAGTCTCCTCAGAACGTGGGTGAGGGGTAGCCTCCACTTAGGCTTCGGGCAAGTCTCCATGTTCTATTGTGTGTTTACCGAGCTTCCCACTGGTAGAAGATGACACATTTGTCCCATTGTTCTGTGTATCTGCTTTCCAGAGGACACCGGGACATTCTCCTGGGGTCACTCCCACAAGGCTTCCTCACACAGCTGTTTTGCAACAGCCTTTATTGCCAACACCCATGGAAGAACATCTCCTGCAGAAGTACAAGTTTTGCAATTTGGACTTTGGAAGTGGTTTTGTGATGTTCGAATTTTCTGTTAGCCTATTGCTCAAGCACTACAGAATGTACATAGTCCCTTTGGCCATCCTTCCACCCTAGGATATCCTAATAAACATTGTTTTCTTTTTTTAAAAAAAATAATCGTGGTGTCTGTCTTTTTCTTTTATCCCATCACTGGAAAATGCTCTGGAAATTTGCAAATATAGAGAAATCTCCAATGTCAAGACACTGGAGTTTCTTCACAGCGGATCATAAGGACTAAGTATGGCTGCCACAGAAACTTCCAGATCATGGTTTCCAAACCATGGTACTGTCGACACTCAGTGCCCGATAATTATATTTGGAGTGGATGGGCTTGTCAGATCCTATACATTGTTGATGGGTAGCAGCATCGTTCGGTAGCCCCCTATCCACACTTGTGGTCAAAGCTATCTCTAGACATTGCCAGTGTCCTCTGAGCCTAGGCAAAATCACCCTTGGTTGAGAGCCACTATATCATATTCAACCTTTTGCTCATTTCTGAGCAACAAAAGGCAGCAGGGTGTAGTGTAGGAGCCGCATCTGACATTTATTTTATGTTCTCAGAATGCAATTTTAGAATTAGAGAATAGGGTTGGTGTATAGTTACCATCATATTTGTATTGAATGATTTATATAGACTTATAAATAGTAAGTATTTTGATAAAAGATAAAGACTTAGAATGAGGTGATGGTTCTTGTTTCCAGCATCTAGCTCAGTGCCTGGCCAAGAAGAATCACTTAAAATCACATGAGGCCAGATTTGATTCCTCTAAATTAGGATCATGAAGGTGGCTGCTCAAAATATGACTCCCCCATTTCCCTGAGGAAGTTGTCATCTCTGGCATCCTATGACTGCCAGGAACTTTTAAGGCAAAATGTTAAGACATAAAACATAGTAATTAATATTGCCACTGTTGTTTGCTTCAGTATGCAACTAGCAGTCCCTGAAACTGCAAGAAGACCTTGCCTGCTCTGAGACAGAAGCCTGTATTTCACTTGGGATTCTGTAGGACACACTTTTGTCCTATTGTGATTTTTCTGGGCTTTCCTATTGTCTTGCTTCCTGGCTCTGCTTTCAAATGGCCAAGTTTAGAATGATTCCCCAGAATCCCCAAGTTGGTTTGGATGAAAAGTTTGTGTGAACATTTGGACCTTGGCCTGGTGTTTTAAAGGTATAACAAAAGCCCAGATTCCAGCAGCTCACCTAGCTCTGGGCTTCTCAGGACAGCCTTTGTAGAAATCCCCAAGTTCATTCGCGGGGAAATGAACCCCAGCTGTCAGCACAGATGGCACGGGGCCCGTGGGGATGGGCAGGACTAGAACGCTCCCAGAATCATCAAGCAGAAGTGGGAGACAGAGCTGCAGCCAGCGCCCTGGGGACCTGCAGAGTCCTCCTGCCACCATCCCTTCATATTCTAATCATCTTCAGAATGCAACCAAATCCCCAGGATGCAGGTGATAGAAAATTTAGGAGCTGGAACAAGAAATGACTAATAAAACCCTGCGAGAAATGCCCAGAAAGTGAATAAAATCTGTGACAGAAACAAGATACAAGACTGCTTGTGTTTGGTGACATAAATAAAACATAAACAAGAACACAGCGATGTGAAGATATGAGCAGGGATATCCATAAAAGTCCCATAAACTGGCAGTGCTGGCTGCCCCGATGGGTTTTAGCCTCATGAAGATGTCTACCACCCAGGCTGGTAGGCAGAGAATTCACTGTGTTTAAAAGATAAGATGAGCTTTTGGCCTAAGAATACTTTGGGTGGTTATATAAATAAGGTCAATCTTTTAAGAAAAAAGCAAAACTGTTTGACAATATGTATCAGAGTTTAAAATTCACATCTCCTTTGAACCAGCAATAGCGCTGCAAGGAATTTACCCTGCATTCTTATACAGGGTGTGTCAAGATGCATCTGATAATATTTTTACCACAGAATAATTTCTAACAACAAACTACTTGAAACAATCTGAATGTCCATCAGTAGTGAGCGGGTTAAAGACCTTACAGCACATTTAGATGAGGGAATGTTCAGCAACTATTTTTTTAAAAAGTCGATGTACATCCACACTAAACCAAAAGGGGTCTATAGTGTATTAAGTGAAATGGCAAGGTACAGGACAGTGAAAAATACTGTCCTACTTGTATAGAGTTTAAAAAGACAGATGGTAGACAATTATTGATGATAGAGATAGATGATTGACAAGGAGAGAGGAATGATACAGATGTATCATAGATGTAAGTAGATATAGGTAGACAGGTATAGATAGATTGATGGTTGATAAACAGATGATAGCTAGATGTAGATAGATCAATTGATATATAGATGACACAGGTAGACAGTAGATGCTTGGTAGATATAGAGAGGTAGATATGGATAGCTATAAATGATAGATGACAGATAACTAATGCAGATATGAATAGGTAGATTAATAGATGATAGATAATACATCTCTACAGATAGGTAATTGATAAATAGATGATAGCTAGGAAGATAATAAACATGAATATTCTCTGGATATAGTTCTTACGTAGTTTTTACTCAATCCATATATTATTTGTACCCACTGTTTTTAGAGAATAAAAAGTAAAGGAAGGACAAGCGGTGCAACTCCTGGAACCCAGCTCAGATTCTCAGCCTTGCTCTTTGGAGGAAAGAGGCTGACACAGCCCTGGCTCAGAGCGCTCCCAGAGCTCGAGTTCCCTGCTGCCGCCAGCAAAGCCCTGCACAGCCTAAGCAGCATGAGTGGCTGCCCCCACCAGCACCTCCTGCAAGATTAATTGCTGCAATTTAGGGAAGAGGCACCTTAGGGGCACCTGCTGTGCAGTGTGTTGCATAGGAGGGTTTTGAAATAACTCCTCTCCCTGTGGTTGGCAATGCAAGGGTGAGTCATTTCCGTGAGGGCCTTCCCAGCTCAAGGGGAGGCCGGGTCAGCATCTCCAAGAATGAACCCCACCCTGCAGATGATACTCTCAGAAGGCTCGTGATAGTAACAGCTGTCAGTTACTGGTGCTCACCACGCTCCAAGCCCGGGGATGGATGGGCTCTGTGCACATGATCTCATTCAGTTCTCACAGCAACTCTGAGATCAAATTAATTTCGTTTTGCAATTGAAGAGACTGAGGCTCAGAGAGAGCAAATGACTGATGCAAAGGCACATAGCCAGGGTGGAACTCACATTCTGTTTTCTGATGCTAGGGCCCATTTAGACATCCTTCTCTGCTCTCAGGCCTGTGGGGAGAAAGTCTCCTGGCATCTGAGCAGGAAAGCTCGCAGGTACACCCGCACCCCACGTCCCCACCATGCTTCCCTCCATCCACACTTGGGGCCATGTTCTGAGAACAGCCCAAGTCAGCATAATGCAGCTTGAGTTTGTCTTCAAAAGATAATTAGATTACCTCCCTTGCCTTAAGAAAAAGAACAGCAGATTAAAAAAGAAATATGACAAGCCATCTGAGTGCCAGGACTGCTCCCCTGAGACACACACTTCCATTTCAGTCCCTCATTCCAGATATGAAACCAATTAAAGTACTTGCAACGTATACAGTTAACACCAAGTGACAAAAGCCTACCTAAGTGTTGTAAAGACCTCGTTTACCCACAGGCTGTGTCCAGAGAAACCTAGCTGGCCTGGTATCCTGCAAGTTAGGAAGTATGTGACCCAGCTCTGACTTCTGGGAGTGCTCAGCTGCCTTCCTCAGAATCCCCCTCCAGCTGTTACCCTCTGTGCCTCTTCTGTCTTCAGTCTGGTGATGGTAGACAAGGGGAGATGGTGGGGGCAGGGCCTGAATTTCTGACCCCTGGCAGGGTGGCTGGCTCAGGAAAATCTTTTTTCCCTAGTCCCTGTCTAGTTCTTGACCTCTCACACTCCTGTCCACACCTAGACAACCTGTTGGGGAAAGAGCACTGGGCTTGACGGTCCTCACCTTGAGGTCCCCCACAGAATGGCAGAAGCAGTTTCCTTTGCCTCAGCACGCTGGGACAAGGGCATCTCCCTTTGAAGTGAGCAGACCAAGAAATTCAGCTTTTAGAAAGCGACTTCAAAAACTAGGACCCAAAGTGAGAAGAAAATAAAAACCAGACAATAAGAAAAACGTGGCTCCTGGGATGCATCGTCCTGGTCTAAGTTTACTTCCCTTCCAGGCAATGGAAAATGAATCTCCAGCCCTGCTGGTCGGGAAGGACCAATATCAGAATAGGAGAGCAGCCACATTCTGACATAAACCTCATTTGTTTTCCTTCTCCCAAAACATTTCTGTCACTGGAGGATGCTTCAAGTGCTCAGATGGTGTCGCCAAGCTTGGGAGCATTTTCAAGTCCACAGAGCACCTGCACAGGCAGTCATTTTCTCCCTGAACACCCCCACTGGCAGGAGGGGAGCTGGTTGATGATCCCCATTCCAGGATGCGTCTGACCAGTGGCAGAGGGGACCTTGCAGCCCAGCAGTCCTTCCCCCAGCCCCCTTCCCCTGTGGCACGACCTCCCCTCCAGCTGCCTGTCTTCTTTCCTGGCATCTTCTCACTCATGCCAGAATGGCAAATTATTTAACTTTACTATCCACCTCTGCAGAGCACACCTGTACAGTCTACTCTATTTTTCTATTCTACTGAGTTTTTCAAGGCAGTTTGTACAGGATATCACATGTTCCTTGAATAACTTCTGCTATCATTCAGACAATAGCCAACTTCAGGTGCATATCCTGGGGTTGCCAGAGATCTCACTGCATGCTGTTCACTTGCTCTGGGGCCTCAGCCGTGGCGGATCATCAAAGGGAACAGATGGGTAGAGTGGTGGTTTCCTCACTGAACGCTTAAATGGCTCAAGGTTGCAAACCCAGGTATGGAGGCCAGGGCAATGACTGGGGTTGCCAGTACTGGCCCTGGTGGAGCCAATGACCTCCAGGTGCTAGGTGAACAGGGAGCCCCTACATCTGGTTGCACTTCACCTGCACAACTAACACCAAGCCAGCAAAGCCTAGATTTCTCAGACACTGTCTGGTACCTCCAGATCTGTTCACAGGCCCCTGCTCTCTCCCAACCCACCTCCCCCCATACAGTCCTTTTCTGTTTGGGTCTCTGCCTTGTCTCTATCTCTTCACATCTG